AGGCACAACATTTCCCGGCCGAAGCCAATATAAATATCTTCCGGCCAAAGCATCTACAAACGCCCAGTCGAAGCCAATATAAATATCTTCCGCCCGTAGGCACCAACCAAATTCCCAATCGAAGCCTATATAAATATCAATTGACCCATAGGCCCTACATCACCTAACCGAAGCCATATAAAGCTATCATTCGACCTGTAGACCCCTACATCACCCGACTGAAGCCATATAAAGATATCATTCGCCCGTAGGTAGTATCGTTCGAATAACTACTAAATAAGTACATAAACATAAACATAATATTTCTAATATATATATATATATTTATCTCAATTGGAGCTCAGTAACTAAAACGTCATATCGTAAAACCACGTTCATAAGTAGGTATATAGTTATCAATCATATATACCACGAAGAACGTAAAGTCGATAAAGCATGATAATTCATAAAGCATGAAACTAATTTACTCATAAACGTTTCATAAAACGTAGCCATTAAATCATGCTTTCATGTATGCATTTCTAATAGTAAAATATGCATTTTAGAAGGGGTCCACTAACCTTACACCGTTGGTGAAGAGCCATGCAAACAACGGTGGATGGAAACGCCACTAACAAACGCACCTAAGCACATAAAGGTACCAATTAATAAAACAATACTAAAATGGTTGAATTTCCAGAAACGGACGTCATAAATGGATTCAGAACGTCGAAAAACATAATGGGGGACCTCGGGTACCCCAACACACTGCCACAGGATGGTGGCCTCGATGGCCATACGCTGCCGCACTTCATTTTGGTTCGTCGGAAAGTTGGCCGAAAAATTACCGGCATCGCCGTGGACGGAGGTGGAGCACAGTACCTCCAGTGAAGGCGCGTGTGCTCTACATGCAGGCCAAGGCAGACGCCCACGCGCAGGCGCATGCGCTGGCCAGGTTCTGGGTTTGTTGGGTTGGGCAGATTCCAATTGGGTTTTGGGCTTGGGTTGTTAAGACTGGGCTGAGCCAAATGGGCCGAAGGCCTAGGTTGGGCTTGGTTCAGTGGGTCACACAAATAGTTTTGGGCCTGACAGCTCAGCCCAAAGGTTTGGGCCAAATAGTGACCTGGGTTGGGTTCCATGGGTATTTCGGGTTAATGGGTTATGGGTTTGAGACCCTGACCCGGTTCTCAGACCGGATTCACGAAGAAGCAAGCCGGAGCTTCCCAAGCTCCAATCAACCTCGATTCTCAACCTTAGCATACGATCTACCTACCAAAATGAAGACTAATAAGTGTAGTTTAGGATTATACCTTTCATTTCCCCAATAGTGGCCGGAGTTGGCCGGAAATCGGCTTGAAAGCCGTCGGACTTGTCGGAATCTGGGGAAGGTTTTCTCGGGGTGTTTTCTGCAACTAATGAGTTGAACAACTTAAAATTTACTTTAATCTAACCCCAAAATGTAACCCAAGAGATTCAAAGACTTACTTATGTCGAGGGTTCGCCGAAGAAGGAACTGCATAGTGGCGAAGCCATGGTGCACGCGATACGGTGTCCTTTCGTTCCAGGTTTTGTGGAACACGCAAGTAGGGGAGAGAATGATAGTGGTTATGCGTGCATGAGTCCGATTTGGAGGGAAAGGGAAATTAAAGAGCAAATTAGGCTCAGGGGCTAAAAGAAAAAGGGAGAGAAAATGAGAAGACTGAGGGGTTCTGGGAGAAACACGGGGAAGAGAAAAGAGAAAGGAAAGGGAAAATGTGCCAGGGGGGACCAAATTGTCAAGGTGGGCCCCACGTGGCACACCAATTAAAACCCAAAAGTACCATTTTAAAAATAAACATCTCAACTCTAGTGAAATTACAAAATTACCCTTCCGTTTCAAAAATTTCGGACAGGTCATTACAGAGAAAAAGGCAATGAATGCTTTTGCTAGTCATTTTGATACATATTTTTCATGCATTAGTTGTTTCAAACATTGTGACAACAAATTAAGGTGCTACAATGCATGTATGTATAGATAAAAGTGGAATCCACGTAGGTGTAAGTTTAGGATTTCAGCCCTGCTTTGAATTCTCCTTGGGGTTTATGGCTGAGTTTCTCCGTTGTTATCAAAATCAGAAATTATTGAGTTCAGGCTTGAATTTTCTCTAAGGCAAAATTTCAAAGGGTGAACTTTCTTTGACTTTTTGAAACTCTAAAATGTAAGTTTGCGTAGGAATCGATTAAAATGATCATAAATTAAATATGTTAAAATGATCAATGATGACATATGAATCAAATATTAACGACATTTTGATAAAAAATTTGATGATATAACAATTAAATATCAAGTGAAACTAATTATTTCAACAATTGAGATTTTAAAAAATAATCTGAGATCAAGTTTTCTAATTGATATGTACATTAACAGATAACTAGTATTTTGTCTAGTGATAATTGTCTTGAGTTACGGATAATTATCTTCATGATAGTCTAGTGGAACCGACTAATTAAAGATGTTTCGTCGATCGTACGAGGAAATATACATCTGATATCTTAATTGGTTAAGGTCAACTCAGCTAAGAAAAAAATGATTGAGAATGTTGAAATGATGCTGAAAAGTTAGCTGTGAGTTGTTGAAGATTAAAACACAAAACTTCACCGAATAGTTGCGTTTCAAACTCAAAAGGATGGATTTCTCTGGTTAACTGAGGAAGGTTTTATTTGGTTGTGACCCTTATTTCAAATCATTTTTGGGAGGCTGTATAAAAAAATTTAAAAAATTATTATAAAAAAAAAAAAAAAAAAAAAGAACACACTTTTGGGAGGCATTTGTGGAAGCAAATTAACATATTTACACAAATTTTCTCAAAAAAATAAAACATATTTACACTAATTAAGTTACTTGTAAGTGATATATCTTCGAATTTCATGAATGGCGAATTTGCAACTATTTTATCTTCCATCCTATTAGTGTAAATAATATTTATACAAAATAAAACTTATAATGTTGGCTAAGAGTGTTCCTTAGGCCAGAAAGAGATCATCTCCGAATCTCTTCCTCCAAAACCCAGGGATCAAGTGATCCGGGCCCTTAAAATTTGATTCAACGACAAAAAATTATTATAACTTTAAAAAAGTTTACTAACTATTATATTTTTAGCTGTTGGATCAAATTTTAAGATCAGGATCACTTGATCCCTGGGCTTTGGAGGGAGAGATCCAGAGAGGATCTTTTTCCCCTTAGCCCAATCAACGAGGACACACACTCTTGTGAATTGTCTCTTTCCCCTTAGCCCAATCAACGAGGACACACACTCTTGTGAATTGTGTGTAAGAATAATATGACCTTCAAAAAAAAATTGAAGAAGATGAAGTTATAGCTAGGTAACTTCAATAGTACGTTTTTCCTCTCTGCCAAACACACAATATGCTCAACCAAACAATAGATCTTTGGTCCAAATAATGAGCCTTTTTCTATGAGATCATTGACCACTATTTATACAAACAATTAATCCATGTGATTCTCTTATTAGGATCCATATAGAATACTAAAAAAGTCTCCTTGTCAATGTGGTAAAAACCAGTTTATTACGTACTAATTAGTTCAGTTTCATATAAATTAGAACAAGTAATCCTCTTTTCTTAAGAATTCTATACTAATTTGAACTCAAACATCCGGCCAAATACACCTACACTTATACTCATAGTCTAACATTATGTACAAAATATGCGGCACTGTGTGTGCCACCTTCGACAAACAATGAAATCTGAATGTTTTATGGAAACCAAATGCTTCATGTATTCCCATTACGTATCCACGAGATTGAAGAAAAAGAGAAGAAGACGATTAGTACCTTTCTTACTCTTGTATCTTTAGTTTTTAAGTTTACATGATGTAAGAATGATGAAACGCAAGAAACTTACATATCATGTACATTTTTACTTTACCTCATGCTCTTATATTTTTCTCGTGTGATTCAATAAGTGCATTACTTGTAAGAAAGAAATCCAATATTAATTACTACTTAGCAGAAAAATACGGTACTTCTTTGCTGGTTTATTTGTCCCACAAGCACTGGAAATGCGATGGGTAGGATTTGGGTCGGTTAGGACAACAAGTTGTTTTAAAATTTGTGGGACATGTCATTCGACCATTTTTCAATTGATAAAGAATTTACTTTATTAGGTAAAAAGGTTAATCCAATTCCAAACATATTAATAATCCATATAGGCAGATGTTTAAGTCAATGTTAAATTCACTAATCTTATTCTTATCCGAGAGTGTGACTGAGATATGCAAAAAACTTGACATATTTGCTAATATATGATATAACCACATCCATTAGCAGAACTTAGTTTTCTTTATTTTACACCATTCAAAATATTACCATATGTGAGATCAATGTGATAATTTTTCATTGTATTTTGGCCTTTTTGTTCATTAGGATCTGTTTAATCAGTCTTTATCATTATCTTTTAACAGGGTAATACAAAATACTACTTATATTCAAAATTAAGGTAATTAGTATAAAAAATATGGATAGAAAGATTTGCATCTAAAGCAAATAAATAAAAGATCCATAATCCATCATAAACAAGCACTTCCATGTCGAATTACTAACGAAATAAATGCGTCCGGCCAAATGAAAACACAAATCATGGCACACAACATTATCATAGTGAATTATGGAAGCATGTAATAATAGCAATATCGTCATAATATGTTGGATTAATATTACTAAAAATAGTAATTTTGAACAAATACAAAAACATAATAGTTAACAATGTAATCTAGAAATATTCACACATTAATAATATTCTGACTGCAATTTTCTATAAAATCAAATCGTTTGAGTCGGACACGAGAGGTTCTTATCCAAGTTCATATATACTACCGTGACTTGTCAAATTAGTGCGCCACACTATTCCCATTAATCTTGGCCATTCCCATTCCATCATTCCAACCATTCCCCTTGTTCCTATAAATGTACGTGTTCTTTGGGTAGTTTTCTCTCACAACCAATATCTCTAACTCTCGCACTCCTATTTTCTCCTCGTGCTCTTACGATCTCTTATCTGAACTGACTCGGCCTGTTTCATGAATTCCACGACGAAAACAAGCGGCTCAGTCAGCTTCGCAGCTCCGCGAAGCTTCGGCACCGCCTTAAAATCCGACCTCAAGGAGACCTTTTTCCCCGACGACCCTTTCAAGGCATTCGCAAATGAGAAACCACTTGGGAAGGTCAGGAAGGGTTTCCAATATTTCGTTCCCATCTTGGGATGGCTTCCGAAATACAGTCTGAAAACGTTTCAATACGACGTCCTTGCCGCACTCACCATCACCAGTCTCGCCATTCCTCAAGGAATTAGCTACGCCAAACTCTGCCAGATTCCTCCCATTATCGGCCTCTGTAAGGCTGAATCATTGATTAAATTGAATATTATCTTCTAAAATATATGCACACACAGTCCAAGTTCAGCGTCTGGCAAGAGAATATTTCTTCGATAATTTTATGTGCAACCAAACCAATAAATAATTAATGGGTTGTGTTATAATTGTGTAGATTCAAGCTTTGTTCCTCCTCTTATTTATGCAATTTTTGGAGACTCCAAGTACCTCGCTGTGGGAACAGTGGCAGCATGCTCGTTGCTTATTGCCGAAATCATTGGAGAAGTAGCTGATCCAAAGGCAGACCCTACATTGTACCTGCACTTAGTTTTTACGGCCACCTTTATCACCGGCATTATTCAGACAGCTTTGGGTATTCTAAGGTGAGAATAAATTGTGTAGTACGGAAACAAACAGGTACCGTATATGTATATATATGTATATGTATATGTGTGTGACCTTTTAATGCAAATTTAACCTAATTATATAAAAGTTATTGTCGTCGATATTCAGGCTGGGGATTCTGGTGGATTTCCTATCACATTCCACCATCACTGGCTTCATGGGAGGGACTGCAATTATAATTTGCTTGCAACAGTTGAAGGGCTTTTTAGGGTTGAAGAATTTCACGACCAAAACCGACGTTGTAAACGTTTTGAAATCAGTATTCCAGCATAGAAACGAGGTCAGTGCTTATCCACATATTAATGCGAAATTAGTGCATATATAGTTTTTTTTCCTAATTTTGGTAACAGTTGATTAATTCCTTCCTAAAATGTCGATTATTACAATCACAGTAGCGTGGATTAGGTGCATGGACGCGCTTTAAAATTGAATGACATTTGTAATAAAAAGAAGAAAATTAATGATATTTTTCCTCTTTTTGCAGTGGAGGTGGGAGAGTGTAGTTCTGGGTATTACCTTCCTCCTTTTACTACAGTTTACCAGGTGGCTGGTGAGTTTTCTGTTCAACAAAAGCTCACTGGGATATGGTTCCTGCTATTAAAAAAAATATATATATATATATATATATCTATCTTGTGAGTCGCAGAGCTAGAATTTACAATAATGGGTTACGAACAAAGTCCTCTAACAACTAAATATACTTTAATTTATAGTTGGCAAAGACATGTTCTCATATTTTAGGAATATCATATCACAACATCATTATCAATAAAATCAAATACATTTATCATTTTATAAAACCAAGTTATCATTCAACCATTGATTTCCATTCATGTTTCATTATATTCAACCAAGTTATCATCCAACTAAAAAGCTCTCCCTATTTTGGAAAGGTTGTAGTTTTGGTAGGTTTTAAATAAATAAAAAATATTAATAAATGCTCTCTCTATTTTGTTTGCCTTAGCTATTGTAGGAATCATATAAAATTTCGGAAGGGAGATATTTGAGGTTGTTAAGAGTCAGTGGCAGCCGATGCCTCCATGTTGGTTTCGTCACTGCTTGTGATCAATAAATAAATGTAGTATATAAATAATAAATAATTAATTACTCTTCCTCTATATTAATGATGTTCACTAACTTTTCAGAGAAACAGAAAACCAAAGCTATTCTGGGTGTCGGCTATGACTCCACTTGTCGTGGTGGTTGTTGGGTGCCTTATTGCTTATTTTGCCCATGCAAAAGACCATGGAATACCAATTGTAAGTGTGCTAACTTGTTTCAAATATTCATTTATTAATAGAATAGTTAATATACAAATAAAAGCAAAGGTTTCCATTCAAATTGTATTAAAACTACGAGAAAGACGTTCATGGCACGGAATGTCACAGTGAAAGTGTATTCATGACATAAAAGATGGTCTCTTAGTTTTCATATCTCATTTCTTTTGTTGTTATTTTCTTATTTTTATTTATCGATTTCTATTCTTAGGTGGGAGACTTGAAGAAAGGGATCAATCCTTCTTCCATTCAATATTTGACCTTTGACAAAAAATATTTTCCGGCTGTTGTGAAGGCTGCGGCTATTACTGGCCTTATTGCTTTGGCTGTGAGAAAGACCTTAACCTACCTATAATTATTTCTCCCATTAATTTTCATTTCTGGTTTAAATTAAGGGAGACTTTAGTTTTTAGTTACTACTAGGTTAGTTTAATACGTATTTTAATTATCAAATAACCTTTTTCAGGAGGGAATAGCAATTGGAAGGAGCTTTGCCATAATGAGGAACGAACAAGTTGACGGGAATAAGGAAATGATAGCTTTTGGCTTCATGAACATTATTGGATCTTTCACCTCATGTTACTTGACTACTGGTATATTATATTTACATATAAATTGCTTATCTCCAATTGATTTCACTAATCACTGTTCACATATTTTATAATTCTTTGATTAATTTTGTATTATAATTTAATTAGGACCATTTTCAAAGACTGCGGTGAATTACAATGCGGGAGCAAGATCACAAATGGCAAACGCAGTGATGGCACTTTTTATGATGTTCGTTCTTCTGTTCTTGGCTCCTCTCTTTAGTTACACCCCTCTTGTTGCTTTATCTGCAATTATTATGTCCGCCATGCTTGGACTCATCAAATACAATGAAGTCTATGAACTCTTCAAGGTTGACAAGTTTGACTTCGTCATCTGCATGGCTGCCCTTTTAGGTGTTGCCTTCATTAGCATGGACATCGGTCTCGGTATCTCAGTAAGCACTTCTTCTCACACATGTTTATGCTTTAAGTCTTTTTCAAAAGTGCAAATGCTCTTGTAAAAGAACTTGATAGTTGTTTCTCCATAGTGCTTTCAGAATTCATAAACCCTAAAACGTGTTTGAGTGTATTAATTTATGCTAAGTTCAACAAGTGCTTTTGATTTTCTGAAAACACTGGCAGGCTTGTAGCCATTTACGTATTCATTAATGTTATTAGGGTTTTAATCTTGAATTAACCTAGTGAGTCTTTGTTTGATTAGATCGTACTTGGTCTTGTGAGAGCTCTCCTTTATGTGGCTAGGCCTGGCACTTGTAAGCTTGGAAAAATACCAGACTCGGTTATTTACCGTGACATAGAGCAGTATCCAGAAGCTGCGAGGAATTCAGGAGTCCTGGTACTACAAATTGGCTCCCCAGTCTACTTTGCAAATGGCAACTATATAAGGGAAAGGTAATGTTTATGTTTAGCTTATATTATACATTTCAAAATTAATGATATTGCTTAACTAAAATTATAGTATTATTAGTAAATTTTTCTAATTAGTATATATTTGGAAATAGGATTTTGAGATGGGTTTGGGATGAGCAAGAACAATTAGATGCTAGCGGAGGCGAGCTTGAGCATGTCTTGCTCGAATTGTCAGGTACGATTAAACTTGATTATATATCGCATCTTCAAATCTCCCTACCTCATTGATAATTTTTATTTTATTTTATTTTTGCATCGTTCATGACTGTTTCTCCAATTTAAATTAAATGTTTCAAACTCGATTTCGTAGGAGTTATAACCATCGATATGACTGGCATTGAAACGTTGGCGGAAGTACACAAAACCTTAGCTGCAAGAGGGATTAAGGTAAAGATGAAATCCATGCATTCATGTACTTGTTCATCAATTATTCGTCTTAATAGTTAATTATAACGAGAATAAAAGATAATTTCTGTATTTGTTTGTCATTTTAGCTGGGAATAATAAACCCGAGGATTAAGGTGATGGAGAAAATACAAACGTCACATTTCGTAGACAAGATCGGAAAAGAAAATATCTACTTATCGATCGAGGATGCAATCGTAAATTGCAAGTTTTCGATTCGCAAGTCCAGTGAAGCCGAAGGTTCATCATAAACCGCAAGCGATGATGCGCATACAATAAGTTTGATGCTGTGTTCTGGGTTTCGATTCTGCAGTTGCTGGTACCCCGAGAAATTTACACTTGGTTGTTGTTGTTGTTATTGGGGTTTGTTCTTGAGGGGGAAAAGTGGAATTTTATTTCTCTGATGTGAAATTATTATTTTTCTTACTTGATAAGAAATAAGTGTAGTATTACTCTTTTCTTATTGGCAATACTATGGATCATGGATCAAATATTTGGAACTTTTACTTTGTTTTGAAACAATGAAAACCAAAGTATGAGAGGAGTTCAGAACATACATGATTTTCTTGTAGTTAAAACCGGCTTGGAGTTGGAGCAGTTTTTCTTGTAGCTTGCAAGTTGTAGATGTGCGTTAAGCTAATCTGAATACAGAAATAATACATTATTCTAGTCAAGTTGATCCTACGCTTATACATGCAATTTTTATTTATTAAATACAAATATAAATTAACAACGATTTTCATACCCTCATTTTTTTGTCGTCAACTCTTCTCTTGGTTCTCATCTAATGTTTTATTTATTTTAATTCTATTCAATTCAACGACTGGAAATGCATAGTACAGAGTGAAAAAAAAGAAGGTGTAAAAATTATTTTCGAAATAAATAAATAAATTATAAATCATGAATCATGACACAACTACAAGTCCAAACCCAAACATTATTTTGGACTCTGTTCCGAACTGAAAGTGCGAGCCCACAGGACTCAGACGTCCATTCGAACTCTGCCTCCGGGCTCAATCCGCTTCCATCTCTGTACCGCCAAGGCCTTCCAGCTTCGCTCTTCGGAGCTCCGCACCGACTTCCTCGAGCTCTTTCATCTCCCAACTCACGGAAAATGGTAAATGCGAACCGAAATTTTACTCTAAGTTTCAATATTTTAGTTAGTTTAACTTCATCTCTGCCTTTCTTACTGTTTTTTCTTGTGAATTTTGATAATTTCATCAATTTTTGCGCTGTTTCCATGGTGAATTTGCAGCCTCTCCGGCTCGATATCAAGGTAGATTTCTCTCGGTTTCTTTCAGTTTGTGTTATCCGTTTCGATTTTATCAATTTTGTTATGATTAATCAGTGCATTTTCACTTATTATTTTGATGCTGCTCTTGAATTCTTTAAAGTTGGGATTTCATGAGAATTTTAGTTTATCAAAACTGCTGTTAGAAATGTAATTTTTTTTTCCTGGAAAATAGTTTATTTCTCATAATTCCTAGTTGTTCCTGAATTGTTTTATGGTGATATTGTTTCTTGCTGCCCGTGATTAGCTATAGGGTTAAGTGATTCGTGCTTTTCAGAAACTTAAGTGATTGCAGATGGGATATAGTGAGGTTAATGTGAAAGCTAAGAAGATAGTTTTTGTAACTGTTGGAACTACCAGTTTTGATGCTCTTGATCGAGAGGTGGATACGCGTGAGGTTAAACAAGAGTTGGTATACTCGGCTTCTCTTTCAAATGGGCCGCGGATCCTACATTCCCACGAAGATATTTCTCAACCGAGTTATGCGATTAGTTGCTGCTCTTCATTATCTACTGCAAAGTAGCAAACTTTAGTGGTGCAAAGTGGATTTGTAAACGAATGCGTTATCCAGTTTGCTATTTTAGATTTGGGTTTATGGGTAGCTGTAGTGTTGATATTCAATTCCTACGCAGATAGAGGTTAAAAGAAAAAAACTAGTTTGTCCGTGCTTCATAAATTCAAACAAGAATTCATCCGTTGCTTGGTTTTCTACTACTTTGAAATAGCCTGGTTGCTAGTAATGTTGTAGCAACAGAATGGAGGAATGTTAAGTTAAATGACTTCTATGCTCTCTTTTGTCAGACATACTTTGTGCAACATCTTTCCGCCTCAACATTATTGTTATAATGCAGGCTGAAGGAGGAGATGAGCCCCTTGCTGTTGACTACACTTTTTCTTCGAGCATTGCAGACCATCTGAGAGCAGCATCTCTTGTGTCAGTCATGCAGGTATGATTCTGATAGCGTCTGTTTATCTTTCTGCATGTTTTTACCATCTGAATAATAGAAGACTTGCAGAGATACTGATGTATTTCTTAAAGAATATTTGGCTTTAGCGTCTTCAGCTAAAATACTTGCAGCGCTAATTCATCACTTAGAATCTGAGTAGCTATAATGTATTAGTTTCATCTCTTTTCTTGTCGTAAATGCGACGCTTGTCTATAATTTCTAAATTTAGTTGACGAGTGCTATATTCTGCAGAAAATTTATTTTTCCCCTCTAGTTTTTGGATTCATCATTTTTTAAATGATTTTTTGTCAAAATAGTATAAAAAGTACTATGCTCGCCCACGGACACTTTGTCACGTTGTAAAAAGTATAAAAACTTTGTTGATTGTGAGCCATTTTTATTTTCGTTGATGTTTGATGTGAATATAATTTGCTGTGGTGCAGTGTCAGGGAGCATGTATTCGAGACTTTGCAGCTTGGTAAGCCCTTAGTCATGGTAGCGAATGAAGATCTGATGAATAACCATCAGAGTGAGTTGGCAGAAGAAGTTGCAGACATGAAGCATTTGTACTATGCTCGCCCACCAGATATGAATTTGGGTTCCCTGGTTCCGTACCATCCAGGTGATGCCACACCAGTTGCCAAGTTTATCAGCTGGTTTCTTGGTTTTGCACATGATTGATGGAATTGTAAATTTCTTTTACTTTTATGAAGGTATTATCGATCGAGATGCATGTTTGAAACGGCATGTACAATTTGAATAAAGATTTGTAGACATGGGTTAGGCCAACTTGAGTGCAAAAAGAGAACACATACGTCCCAACTCGATTAGGCCTAGACCTGCACTTTCTTTGTTGATAAAGTAGATATATAAAAACGCAACGATTTTTACACTTTTATTTTCTTATCTTGCACATTTGTCTTTGTTTTTATTCCTTGATTTTATTTATTTATTCAATTGAACAACTAAAAATCCAATTGTGCAGAATAACCAAAAAAGAGAACGGATTTTATATAATTATAATTTGGCTGTGAGATAATGACTGTATTAAATATATATATATATATATATTCACATGAATTATATCTGATCGTCAGATGATTATTGTATTAAATACATTTATGTATTGTAGCTAATTATGAAACTCGCTTCCAAAATAAATAAAGGGTAAATTACATTTTCATCAGTTTGGGGTCTATTTCAATTCCTTATAACATCTTCAAAACATTTCATACCTTTAAGTACTATTTTATTTCAAAATAATACCTCCATTACATTTTCCATCCATTGATTTGTTAAATGCTGACATAACTGCCACATATATGTCATGTGGTTGCCAAATGTCTTTCACGTGGCAAAAAAAATAAATATTTTTTTAAAAAAAAAACATGAATTAAAAAATAAAAAAATAAAAACTTGAAAACTCAGAAACCCACCCCACCCCCACAACCCCTCTTCTCCCTCCCAAGCATCCCAACCACCTCCCTCTCCCCCACTCTCTTCACCTTCCCTCCCATCCAAAAACCCATCCAATCCTTACCCAAAACCTGAATTTTCTCACCTAAAAAAAAAAAAAAAAAAAAAAAAATTGAAATACACAGCGACCCACAGCCTGCAAGAAGAAGAAGAAGAAGAAAAAGAAGAAGAAAAAGAAGAAGAAGAAGAAGAAGAAGAGGAGGGAGGAAGAAAGAAAAAAACAAAATTGAAACTATCCCTCCCCCTTCCCAACTGACCCACATCTGCAACAAGAAGAAGAAGAAGAGGAAGCGGAGGAAGAAAGGAAAAAAACATAAATAAATTTGAAACTATCCCTCCCGTCCCCTGCCCCCCCCCCCCCACCCCGACCCAGCTCCCTTCCATCCCCCCCCCCACCCAATGACCAATGACCCTCCCCCACCCCGACCCAGCTCCCCTCCCACCTTCCACACACCCCCTCCCCAACAAAAACCCCCCGCTCGAAGATGATTTCTGGGATTTTTTTTTCCTCCTCCTTATTCTTCTTCTTCTTCTTCTTCTTCTTGCAAGTTTAGGGATGTTGGGATGCTTGGGAGGGAGAAGAGGGGTTATGGGGTGGGGTGGGTTTCTGCGTTTTCAAGTTTTTTTTTTTTTTTTTTTTTTTTTGGCCACATGGAATACATTTGGCAACCACGTCAGCATTTAACGGACCAATGGATGGAAAATGTAACGGAGGTATTTTGAAATAAAATAGTACTTAAGGTATGAAAAGTGAAATATTTTGAAGATATTGTAAGGAATTGAAATAGATTCCAAACCTGAGGTATGAAAATGTAATTTACCCATAAATAAATGAAAAACTACATGTCGATGAGTCTCAAGCCCAAGCGCAAGCCCATGGTTTGCAGTCAAGAAAAATAGTGGACGTAACATTAGGCCCAAATCTAAATCCAAATGCAAATCCAAAATATAGATTTGGACTCGAGCCCGAGCCCAAAGCCTACATTAGCCCTCTCTCCCTCTCTCTCTCTCTCTCTCTCTGAGAAGAACACGCACTGTTATTCTTTGCGAGCGAACTGAACGTGCGAGCCCACAAGACTTACACCTCCGTTCGAACTCTGAACTCAATTCGCTTCGATCTCTTCACCGCCGATTCTTTCCATCTTCCCTCTTCGGAGCTCCGCACCGACTTCCTCGAGCTCTCCAAAAATGGTAACGTTCCAGATTTTGGTTTCGGCTCGGATCTGAAAATGTGAACCGAAATTTCACTCTAAATTTCAAGATTTTACTTGGTTTAACTTCATCTCTGCATTTCTTACTGTTTTCTCTGGTGAATTTTCACTGATTTACTCCAATTTTCTGCTGTTTCTATGTTGAATTTGCAGCCTCTCAGGCTCGATATCAAGGTAGATTTCCCTCAGTTTCGTTCAGTTTGTGTTATCCGTTTCAAGTTTGAGCTTTTCGTTTTCGGAGCTTTCAATATTCTGCTTACTGTGATTGCGAATTATGCAGCGGAAATTTGTGCAAAGAACCGAGAGAGTTAAGTCTTTGGATCTACATCCATCTGAGCCATGGTAATTTTTACCAATCCTAACATACTATGCTCTTTCACTGTTTCTGTAATTGTGAATTTGTTTCGAATCGGTGAGGCCTACTTATACTGTGTTTATCTTTGTGGCAGGATCCTTGCGAGTCTGTATTCCGGAACTGTGTACATCTTCAATTACCAGTCACAGGTATGTCACACTTGTCGGATTCTAGTATTTGTCTCGGGTTAACACATTACTTGCTTCGGGGTTTGATCTCGCGGACATGGTTGCATTTTCAAATTACCGCTTCTCTGTTGTATTTGCCGTGCTTGGAAACTCCTTTTCTTTGTGTGATTATTGAACAGTCATAGAAAGCTTTTCTTTATTGTCAGTAGGCTGCATTAGTCGAGAACACAACAAGTGAGTGACCGCTAAGACTAACAAATTGAGCTTTTAGTGAATGAAAAATTCATATTTTCAAAATGGCACAGGTTAAGATGTTTCATACGGGTGGTCCCTCCTTCCGTTGAAATTACCTTATTCTGTTGCTCTTGACCATCATTGATGTCTTTGGACAATCCATACTTCAAAGATCGATTCTTTCCTTGTGAGACTTTATATGTTTGGCTTCTTTGATATCAAATCTTTTGCGGGTGTAATTATGTTAGTGCTGACTGTAATTTTCCTAATTTACATACAGAGCATGGCAAAGTCTTTTGAAGTCACTGATTTGCCAGGTAATTGCACGTTAGTTTTCGTATTAGCTCAATGTTCTAGATAATCAAACATCATAATCAACATGTTTGATGTATAAATTTACTGCTTGCAGTTCGGTCAGCAAAGTTTGTAGTGCGTAAGCAGTGGGTAGTGGCTGGAGCTGATGACATGTTCATTCGTGTATACAATTATAATACAATGGATAAAGTTAAAGTCTTTGAAGCACACTCGGACTATATTAGATGTGTGGCTGTCCATCCAACACTTCCATATGTTTTGTCATCATCCGATGACATGCTTATCAAACTGTGGGATTGGGAAAAAGGTTGGATGTGTACTCAGATATTTGAAGGACATTCTCACTATGTGATGCAAGTGACCTTTAACCCTAAAGACACCAACACTTTTGCAAGTGCTTCCTTGGATCATACTGTAAAGGTGGGTTTAGAAATGTTCCTCAGTAACCCGTGTAAGTTTATATTAGAAAATAATCAGTTGTGCATACTATTAATTGTTTGTCATTATCTTGTTTCCAGATCTGGAATCTTGTCTCCCCTGACCCAAATTTTACATTGGATGCTCACTCGAAAGGGGTAAATTGTGTTGATTACTTCACTGGCGGTGATAAACCATACTTAATCACAGGTTCAGATGATCATACAGCAAAGGTACACACCATTTTCTTGAAAATTCAGTGTTATTGTGTGGACTGACCTTCACTGTTTGTGCATGCATGCATGCATAGTTATCTTGAAAACACTGTAATCGGAAGTTATGTAAACAGGTGTGGGACTATCAGACAAAAAGCTGTGTTCAGACACTTGATGGACATACTCACAATGTATCTGCAGTTTGCTTTCATCCAGAACTTCCAGTTATAATTACTGGTTCAGAGGATGGAACTGTTAGAATATGGCACTCAACCACTTATCGGTAAGTTTTAAATTTCAAGTGTACAAGTGTTTGTTTCAGCTATTTTGGATGTCCTATTGTCAATTTCATTTATTCTTAGTTGCCAAGGATCATTTTGTTTGCCTTTGGATTGTTAAGGCTCGGAAAATAAAATAGTGTTTTGCCTTCTTGCCCGGAATGCACCTAGACCTTGTGATGAGAATTTTGTTATGTTAGTATATTGCATTCTTGAAAGACTTTGCCTACTTTTTATTAAATGGTATTTTTCTTTTAGGTCTTTAATGAATAAAACATACTGTTCAGTTTGCATTTTATGTTTCTCTTCCTTTTACAGGCAGGCTATTGGATTCTGTCGTACCTTTTATGCCTCTCCATGTTTTACACTATCATTTTGTTGATTTACTGGTTCTCTCAGAGAAAAGGGAATTCTTTTTACATGAATAATTACTTTGCAGGCTTGAAAACACATTGAATTATGGACTTGAACGTGTTTGGGCTTTTGGGTACATGAAAGGTTCACGCCGGTAAGCCTTGTTGTCTTTATTTTTTATTTGTTTTCTATGTGTACAAACTATTAGTTAGCTTTTGAAGTAAATTATTGAGTAAGACCAGACCTTCACTATTACAATACCTTGGAATGCTGAAATCTGAATGGGTGCTTTGTGAACTATAATATAGTTTGATGTGATGGTTTCATAAGATCTCTTACATGCGTACAGGATTGTAATTGGTTATGATGAAGGAGCCATAATGGTTAAAATTGGTCGAGAAGTACCAGTTGCTAGCATGGATAGTGGTGGAAAAATTATTTGGGCAAAGCATAATGAGATTCAAACTGTGAATATCAAAAGCGTTGGAGCAGATTTTGAGGTTCAATATCCCTACTTCCTCAGACTTTGATCATTCTGCCTGACATGGTTCTAGAACTAGATATTCTTATGCTTGAATTTATAAACATTGATGATTGTAAAACTCAGGCTACAGATGGAGAAAGATTGCCTTTGGCCGTGAAGGAGTTGGGAACCTGTGACCTTTATCCTCAAGTAAGTTTATCTGTTTGAGGAACATTAATCCAGTGATTTTTTTTTTGGTCAACTTACCTACCTTATTACATTGTTAAGGTGTTTCAAAGCTTTCTGCTGTGATGTTTGTCTTGTCCATAGTAGACAGAACAGTCCTCTTTTCATGAATGCGCATGATACATCAGTTCAAGTTACTGTGGATCTGGCTTTTTAACCATGATGCATTACTATTGCAGAGATTTTATGTTAACATGAAGAGATATAGAGGAGAGTGAGGAAGGTTTGAAACAATTTGAAACAAGATTCTTGTCTCCTCATTGTTCTGAGTCTCAGTTTTGGCTCTAAGTTCTGTATGGGTGTGACTGTGCTCGTGTCCACCCAACCTTATACTATAATTTTTTTTGAATTTCCAATTGATCAAATTGTGGTCAAGTCACAACTAACAAGGCATCAGCTGTGAAGCAATTCCGTACCTTTAGCAATTTGTTGAAGTCCCAAATCCTTTATTATTATTTTTTTTCTCAAAACCGCCCACACTTGTAGATTCTTATAAGACTGACTATTAAACGCCTAATTTTAATTACATTGTTTTGACAAACGGATTTTATTTTGAGTTTGACTTCAGAGTTTGAAGCACAACCCCAATGGAAGGTTTGTTGTTGTCTGTGGAGATGGCGAGTACATAATATACACAGCTTTAGCATGGAGAAATAGATCCTTTGGTTCAGCATTGGAATTTGTTTGGTCATCTGATGGAGAATGTGCTGTTAGGGAAACTACATCAAGGATAAAAGTTTATAGCAAAACGTTCCAGGTTTTGAACCTTTTTAACTCCTTTGTTCTCCATTAATAAATTCCTGTAAGTTATTGCTAATGTTACTTTTTCAAGAACACTTCTCTTTTGCCCCATTTTCCTCGACAAGTTGTGCTCTCTAGAATTTTACACGAGTAAGGCAATGCCTTGACTGTATAGGGACAATGAATGTATTGGTTAAACTGTAGACATCAGTTTGGACAAAAGTTAGTGAATGATGCAATGTTTGAACTTGGAAGTGAGAATACTTATCAGAAATTCTGTATTCATCTTATGAGTCGGGTGGCAGATCTATTCTTTGCTTAAAAAACCATTGCCTTTTGAATTAAAACAATGGCTAATTCATGCAGATACGTAGTCTATGAAAAGAGATGGAATTTTCCCCTAACAGTATATTTGCCTTGTTTTCAAATCTGATCGAGTTAAAATTTGATTTCAGGAGAAGAAGAATGTTCGACCAACATTTTCTGTAGAACATATTTATGGAGGGGTCTTATTGGCAATGCGCTCAAATGACTTCATATGCTTCTATGACTGGGCGGAATGCAGATTGATTAGACGTATTGATGTCAATGTTAAGGTGTAACATATACGAAATTTTGATTATCAGACTTCTTATTCTGGCTGCATGGGTACTAATACATTCCTTTGGTTGCTTTGACTGTTCAAGAATGTTTATTGGGCTGATAGTGGCGATTTGGTGGCAATCACGAGTGATTCATCATTCTACATTCTAAAATACGATGTAAAAGTTCTCCCATTTAAGCTCTCCTATCCCATCTTCATTTGCATTTGCATAGTTTTTTCTGTATATCTGAGCTAAAAGTAATTCATATAATTAACTTAGTGTGGTTGATTTGGCAGAGGGATGTAGTCTCATCCTATTTTGACAATGGAAGGCCAGTTGATGAACTAGGTGTAGAGGATGCTTTTGAACTCCTCTATGAAATAAATGAGCGTGTCAGAACTGGATTATGGGTCGGGGACTGTTTCGTTTACAATAACGCTTCTTGGCGACTTAACTATTGTGTTGGTGGCGAGGTATACAAAATTTGTGGCTTTTTAAAATCAGTGTTCTGGACCAGACTTTTATTATGTCACTGTTGTTCTCAGAATATTATTTAGGGCATTAAAAAAAAAACTTGGAGATGGTGCTCTGTTTTGACTGGGTGGCTTTTCAGGTGACCACAATGTTTCACCTGGACCGGCCCATGTACTTGCTGGGATATCTTGCCAATCAAAGTCGTCTCTTTCTAATTGATAAAGAGTTTAAGTGAGTGTACAAGCTGCAGTTCTGAAGGGGGGTCAACTCATGCACTTCGGAGTGTTTATTTTAACTTGTTAATATTGTTACCTATGCAGTGTCATTGGATACACCTTGCTTCTCAGCTTGATCGAGTACAAAACACTTGTTATACGTGGAGATTTAGAGCATGCAAAGCAAATCTTTCCAACAATTCCTCCAGAGCAACATAATAGGTAGGAAACCATATTTTGTATGGGCAACTGTTGTGCACCATCTAGTGATATTAGATATAGCTTAAAACCCAGATCCATTTCTTACCTAAAACCGCATTTCATATTGCTTTTTGGTTCTCATACAAGTATAATTATTATTAGTTCAATAAAAAGGATCCTAATATAATAATCTGATTTACAAGTATATTATATTCGTTTTTCCTGATTTACTATCTCTATCACATGTGTTTCCTTTTTTGTTCCTGATACGTAGTTGTTATTTTGGTGATCGTTTTTTTTTTTTTTTTTTTTTTTTTTTTTTTTTTTTTTTGTAAATTGACTGACATATTGATGTAAATTTTGCTTTTATCCAGTGTGGCTCGATTTTTGGAATCTCGAGGTATGTTGGAGGATGCACTGGAAGTGGCTACAGACGCTGACTACAAATTTGATCTTGCTATACAGCTGGGTAGACTTGAGATTGCAAAGGTGAGATTTGTTTACTTAGTTAATTGTTGTTATTAAGTTGTCAGGAAGGTTTGCTCTGGATAATTTGAAGAGAAATCGTGGTGTGTAATTCCTTTATACAGAAAAACTCTTTCTAATAACTATTTATTGGTTGTTTGAAGATATTTTGTTTTCTTCTTTCTGGCAGGAAATTGCTACAGGAGCCCAAAGTGAATCCAAATGGAAGCGGCTGGGAGAATTAGCTATGTCCACTGGGAAGGTATTCCCTTACTGCTGTCTTCTGTTTGAACTCCATTAAACAAACCGAGAGACCCTCATTCACTCACACCTCGAGACTACTGAGTTACTCATCCAAACATCGTGATTGAAGGGGATCATAAAGGACTTTTGTCTTGTTTGAAAGAACTAGATATTCTTTGTTATCAATTGTGGTCATGAGTTTGTTGATGATTAAACACCTTTGAATCTATGATGCCTCACATTTTTTTTACATTCAAAATCTTGATTCATATGCTTGAATGGGTTATGCAGCTTGATTTGGCTGAAGATTGTCTATCAAATGGAATGGACCTTTCTGGCTTGTTGCTTCTCTATTCTTCTCTTGGAGATGCCCAAGGAATATCAAAACTTTCATCCCTTGCCAAAGAGCAAGGAAAGAATAATGTTGCATTCCTTTGTTTATTTATGCTGGGTAAATTGGAAGAATGCATACAGCTGTTGTTGGAAAGGTAAATTTCTGTTTACCCTAATTATGACCATTCAATTTCTCAAGTTGTCCTTTTTGTATGTTAAAGCGTTGGCATCTTTCATTACAGTGAAAGGATACCTGAAGCAGCTTTAATGGCACGATCTTACCTACCAAGCAAGGTCTCAGAGATAATTTCAATTTGGAGAAATGACCTGAACAAGGTTAAACTTTTGCATGTTTTTTAGTTCATGAACATGATGCTTTTCTTTTAAGTGAAATGTATAGGTGAGATGAAGGAAGTGATACCAACGGAAAATTGTTATATACTCTACTTTATCCACCAATTGAAGCAAGGAAATATTTGTGCAAATATTTGATTATTCTAAAATATTCTTAATTTTCAATATGACAGGTCAATAAAAAAGCTGCTGAATCATTGGCCGATCCGCAAGAGTATCCTAATTTGTTCGAGGACTGGCAGGTTTCTCTTGCCCTTGAGTCTAAAGATGCAGAAAATAGGTATCCACCCTTCATCTCACTGTTCAACATCAGGGTCATTAACATTCTACTTTTTAGCGCTGCAGTAGAGTAGATATCACCTTTATTACTGACTGCCAATAAATTGTGCTTATGCTTTGTTTGATGATTGTGGATTGGTTTGTGGTCATTTGCAGAGGCATTTATCCTCCTGCTGAACAATACCCAGTCTATGCTGAGAAGCCAACCACCAACCTAGTGGAAAGGTTCAGAAGCATGCAAATTGATGAAGAAGCCACAATCGAAAATGGAGATCTGGATCATGAGGTAAATTGTCCAATTGATGACAAATAGATGTTTATAACCAGCTAACATTCTTGAATCAATGATAAAGCTGATTCACATCTGAGTTACTTGCTTACATAGTTATTAGTATTTCTTCACTTTTTAACTCATCTTTGAGAGTGCAGAAGTTCAAATAAGGTCTTGAACTTACAAAACCGCGGCTAAAGTTTGTTCTGGCCTTTTTTTTTCTTTTTGGGAGATTAAAACACAGTTCTGTTTCTTGCCTCTTGCATTTTGAAACTTTGTCACACTATTGGTGATTCTATCCAACTGTAGATGGTACGTTAGGAATTTTATTCTGTAGTTGAAGCATTGTCAACCATAAAAAGACTTCTCTTTCAGCTTTTCTTTAGTTAAAAACCTCTAATGTTTGTTCCATGAAGGGATGATTTTACCGGTTTTTTAATTGGATTGTGTGTCTTCGTTTCAGGATGTGCAGGCGAATGGAGAAGATCAAGGTGAAGGAGAGGCTGTTGAGGAGGATGCTGACTCCATGAACGGTGTTGTTTTTGTAAATGGAAACCAGGATGAAGAGTTGGATAAAAATGATGAAACTACTTCATCACCCTAAAGGCGATTGTGGATGTGTGAATATTCTGGTGATTAATTCAGCACTCAAAATTTTGAATTTGGTGTTCTATCATTATTGATATTGTTGCTATGGTGGTTTCTGCTGCTGCTCTCTTTTTTCTCAATATTGTCGTTGTGAGTCCAATCTTTATTTTTGGCTTTTCATCAAGCATCCGTTAATTTTTTACCTAGTAACTTTTTGAATTCCATAACAATCATCAGAGCTTTTATACAAGCTCTCGATGAATGGCCAGCTTTCTTGGCCTAGTAAATATGGTTTTCCTGAATCTGTTTTAGGCACGTTTCTTTTTCCTTATATATATCCCTTTATGCATTGCCAATTCATATCTTTTGAGGATAAGTTCATCTTTAAAATATTTGAATACAAATATTTGAGGTTAATTTCATCTTTAAAACACACTAAAACCACACCCCCTAAACTTGCCCAATAAGATTCCTCATGTATTGCTTATAAATCTGGTCAGCGATATCATGTTTGAATCTGAATTATATTTGAGTTTTTTATTAGTAACGTTTGATGTTCCTTGAAATTATAAATCTGGTCAGCAATATCATGTTTGAATCTGAATTAGATTTTAGTTTTTTATTAGTACTGTTTGATGTTCCTCACATCTGCCCAAGAAGGGGGGGAAAGAAGAAGCATGCTTCCCTTTGTATCGTTATTGTGTCTAATAATGAATTTGGTGGTGTTTCGAATATCGTAGAGCATCATCTGTCTACAGATGCACATCATAACAATCTAATATTTGATGTTATTTAGAAGTCAATTGATGCTGATAGTTTTTCTTTTTCTGTTTTCTGGGTTGAAAATGCAGTGTTTAAGCCACATCAATAGTTCTCTTAAACAGCTAGCTCCAGCTGTTACACACCAATCTTCAGGTAAGATAAATGTCTTTACCATATTAAATATTTTCTTATTAAGTTCTGTTTACAAGCCTATATTACTCAGTCGCTCACGTATTAAACAAAAATAAATAAACATGACTTCCTGGTTCCTTCATCGGAGCTTGCTCATCTGTCTACATCCGAGCTTGCTCATCTGTCTACATCCTTAGAGATCACTCAGCATTTGGAAAGATCAGTGCAGTTTCAAATTAAACATCATCACTAAACGAGGGCTTGGGCCATACTATGTCGAATTGTCTTCATCTCTACAAAATTGTTTAGTATATAGTTTAAACAATTAGAATCAAGTAGGATATTGGGAATCACTAGCAGCTACTCAATCTGTGTCCAGCTTCATCAAGCAGCTGAACTTTAATCATACTAAGTTCAAAATCTGGTCTTGTATTTATTTGAGCAATTAACTTAAATTTCAGTCGGTGGAGGGTTGGTCCGGTCCTATGACAAATTTCATATTTGAACTTTGTCCCAAGTTAGTTGAGCCCTTTCAATTGTTAATCCAACCTAATACCTTCTTACAAAAGATCTTGTTTGCTCTAGGATTAAGCATTTTCATGCATCTTAAATCGTGTCCCCAAAAACGCTTGGCGTTCCAGCATCACATGGGTTCCATCTTATAATTTCTACAATTGTTAGCTCTACTTATCGAATCCCATCTATAGGACCCATATATTTGCTAATTTTTTACGTGCTTCCTTGTAAATTTTAGGTTCGCGACCTCTTACAAGAGTTTCGCTTTTTCTTTTCTCTGCAGGGTGACTTGTAAAATTCTCCCATGTACAACCTGGAAAGCACCACTTGTAGTTCCTATTAAGACCAGTTATTCCTGTGACACTTTACACTTTTACAAATGCAAAAGATGTCAAAGAAGAAAAAGCTTCTCGTAATTATTGAACCCGGTAAAGATTTTGATCGGATTGGTCGCTTTATATTATTACACAACTTTTATTAGGTGAGCATAAAATGTCGGAAAGAGAAAACCCCCGGTGGCGGGCGGCGGATTGCTGATTGCTTCCCATGTGTGACCTGTGATTTTGCAGCTAAATGAAATCTCCCTATCATAATGTGTAAGCATGTAGGATTACGTGTTGTTCTGCATTAGAAAAAGAAGTTGGTTTTGTTTGCTAATAACCTGTTCAATGTTCATCATCGTATTATATAAATTAGGTTAGTTTGATTCGTTTTGCGTCTTGTTCAAGTTGGTAATCATTATTAAACAATGTTTTGGTCGTGCCAATCATTTGGTTTATCGTCTAATTAGCGTGTCGTCGGCTGCGAAAGGTTTGTCGGAATCTCATTCCGAAAAATTAAAGAAACAAACTTGCAAAAGTACTATGTTGATGGGTTTTAAATTTTAATATTTGTTGGAATCTTAAGTTTTCGTTAATTGTGTTTTGGTTTGGTGGCTTCGGCTATAAGTTCATTGGGTTCAACAAATTGAGATCCTCTCCGGCTCTGACACTCTCGGCTCTGTGTCAGAGACGGAGAGATTCTTGATTAAGGGTCAACAACATAGACATGGGTTTAATCATATACAAGTTCCTTGAAATTATAATGAGTGTTTTTTAATGTAAATTTTTTTCATAAATTATGACACAATTATCTGAGTCTGGTTATGGAACTACAGGCTAGGGTTTGTATGATATAACTTAAATAGGTTGGTTTGTTTTCATGTGCCGACATTTTTGCTGGTTTATGGAAAGGAAATAATTGGAGAACCTTTCCATAAATTTCACATGAGAAGCAGGTGGCAAATGCAACCATCTTCTGCTTTATTTTTATTTATTCTGTCCATCATTCTTGCAGGAAGGTGAAAGGTTTTAGTGGAGGTAAATAGCTTTTGGTCCCTTCCTATAAGGTCAAGTACAAACCCTTTTAATTTCTTCTCTCCGTAGTTCTTAGGTAAATAACACTAGGGTACACGTCCGTCTTTTCCCTCTACATTTATGCCTTGTTTTTGTCTCTCGATAGTTTACTGGCTTTTGATTTGTTCAATAAAAATGCGAGTGTGATAAAAAGTGTGACAATTACTTTTTGCGCTTGCACGGTGGTGTGAGTTAGGTGAGATTAGATTAGACGAGAGCATTGTGATGCCCGTCCCATGAAGCGTGGGGAAACCATACAATTCTCCTAGGCAGAGCTCTCTCATGTCCAGGGTCGGATCAAACAAACCACAAGTTTTATCAATCCCATTATTATCTCACATGTGCAATTAATACCGGACTTTAATATGTGAATTCATTGCTTATTTACTACATAACACATAAAATAATAATACTACGTCACGACGTTACTTTCACATACGGAAGATTTCTCGAAACACAGCTAAAGCTCCAAAGGCTCCAACCCACATTGTATCATGACAACAAGAAATAAGCTCCATTTAAAAGGGTACCAAGTTCTTTGTTGTTGATGAGATGAAACAGCACCACATGGCACATTGGCACCAAAACGGGACACTTGTTCTGTTTTATTTCTTTCGCGCTCGCCCATGAACCCTCCAAATTAAAATTGTTGGCAGCTACACACGTGTCACTCTTTCACAACACATTATTAAACACAGCCGTACAAGGCTTTTAAACAAATAGAAAACCACTTAAAATTGATAATGCTTCACCATATGAGACTTTTGGCCGCTAGATTATTGGTTAATGATCTAATGATTTAGATTCAACAATTAGAATCTTGTAATATAAGAAAAATGAAGTATAATGAAATTTTTCGAACCACCTGATACCTATAAAGGAATGTCTTGGGTGTTCGACCCATGCGACAACACTCTCTAAATTTTATGAATGAATAGAAAGTTCATAAAATCTTTGATCCTAGACTCTTAAATTCAACGGTAAATAATTTTAAACTATAAATACACCCGAGCATACTAAATTTTTCGAACTCATACCTAGGTAAACTCGAGAGGGGGTAACTGCATAGGTCAGCCGCACAAAAGAAGTACTGTTAAAAGAATGGATGCACGCACAATTTCAAGTAAACGTTATCCGTGTAATCCGAGCTGTCATAAATTACATGACAGTTTCAACCATGCATTTGCACTGCAACTGACCAAACCGTTTTGACCTGTGGGGAATATATTATGTACCAAAAATATTAAAAATAAAATACAAAATCCACAGATCCAAAGAGTTTGTTGACTTCTGCGGATTTGTGGTGTACAACTACGAAGAAGTTAGAACAAAAAAGAAATGTGTATATTCGGACACTTGGTTTATTTGAGGATAGCTCACATTTGTAAGTTAATTAGTGGATGCTATTCCTTTTCGACCAGGTTGAAAATTTCGACAAAACCTTAACCCCGCCCCGAAGGTATAAGTCTAAAGGTATATGTTGCAGACTCATGACCCATGAAATGAAAGCACAGTGGCTCCAGCAAGCCATGGAAGGTCCTACCCAACAGGGGCAGAAGTATTGAGAGGTAGGGGGGTCAGGAACTTCAGTAAATGTCTAGAGATAACTTGAGTGCTGACCTTCTGAACTTCGGTGAATATTCATGGATAACTTGGGTGTTGCCCATTTAAAGGTTGGAGTTGCCCTCATATAGGTCCTTCAATTGCTTAATAAAATGCATTAGATAGGTGTTGCCCCTTTACAGTCTAGTCATAATATTATTTACCTCTAGCTTGTTTGTTGGTTGTGATTACAGTTATAGGTAGAAAAAAAGAACCAAGTAAAATACTATCCAAAAATGCAAAGTAAATGAAATGGTGATCTCAGAGAATAACAAAGCATCATCATTCTTGGACAAATATATTAATGCGATACAATGATATCAAACAATGTTAGTATGTTCAAGATAAGTGTATTTCTTTGTTAAGCATTCATATGGGAGCAGCCCGTGACCCACGCAAATGAGACATTAACAGGTGTAAAATATGCCTTTCCAAATGACTTCATGTCTACTAAGACTCGATGAAATAACGATACGCATGCTATTTTTGTTAAAAAAAATTTGCTCGCTATTCTTAGTGATCTCCTTAATATTATTTCCTGAATCCACCACTGCTACCTAGCTCCCAGAGCCAAATAAACCCTAACCAAATGTTTGGAAAATTAAAACCCTCCTGCCGACGAAAACCGAATATAGTATTAAAGTATTATGAAAGCCAACAGCAAAACCCTACCATTCAATTGCAGCATTATTCATAACATAATTTCCGCTCTCGAATTCTGTCCGTAATTTGCGTTCCAGAAGAGAAGTCTCTGCAATTACAAAGTATTATTATTTTTTTGTTTTCGTTTTATTTAGTTATTTATTTAAGTTTTCTATTTCCCACTTTTTGCTGTTTTTTCAATTCCAATACTAATTTCCCCATACGTTACAGTGATTACAGCATGAAATCTCAACCACGACAGACTTGTTACTTTTGACCAAGTACTACGGAGATGATTACTACACAGTCATTTTGTCCGTCATCATAGAATGACATTGAAAACCGGAAACCATGTGCATCAATGTACGTTGCTATTTATACACTTTTTTTTCGTCTTTCACGTATTTTATTTAAATTTTCGACGGTTGAATTAAATAAAGGAAAAGAATCCTTGTTGTATATTTTTTTTGAGAATTCCGTGATCGTGACCGTTCATCGTATATTGTGCAGTCAGTTTTCATTAGGTACTATTTATATTTAATTTAAAATTTAAAATAATTTCTAACTGCGCAATATACGATGAACGGTCACGATCACGGGATCCCCAGGAAAAGGATCCAGCGAAGATCCTTTTTCCTGATTAAATTCAAAAATATTAAAAAAGACATAAATTAACAAGAAGTGTGTGCAGGATAAAATAAGTGTGTGAGTAGCGTCATCGTGTGTGTGTATATATATATAGGGCTTAGATTTCTATATCGTATCCAAGTACTTTGTAATCATTTCAAAGCATGCTTGAAAATCCCTTACGGTTATTACTTGTCATGATGTAAAATGCGTATGGGAAAAAGTAGATACGATATTTATATAAACTGTATAGGTCATCTACGGCTCAAGTAATAATGTTTAAATGTAGCAAAAACGTTTACGTACATAGAAAATCCAATGTGAACAATTTGATCGATTGGCACGTAAGACAAGTGGCATACAACTTTGAATAGTTCCCTAGGTTCGTCAACAGGAGCAAAATTTTAATATCTTCATATAACATGTCGATTATAATTTTACAGATTATAATTCGTGGATATATTTTTTTTATTAATATATACATCATAGAAATATAATGTATTAGTATCAATTATGTTCATCATTTTTATTATAACACGTTGAATGATACATCATCTACTTTTTATTATCAAGACCAATACAATTTTTGTGCGATATGCATGATGAGATGAGTCATGGATTTACTACGCGGACAGTACATCTACCCTAGATAAAGAAATAAAAATAATAATTTTTTTATGAAGAATCGATGAGGTTTAATTATGGCCAAAAATAAAATTGGATTTTGTAGCTTAGTTTCACTTAACCAGCAGCTAGTGATGAAAGCATATATACATGCATACAGGGAAAAGGGATCATCTCCGCATTCCTTCCTCTTAATCCATCAAATCAGGGAATTCGTACGGTTGAAAATTGATCTAACGATTAAAGTTATTATAACTATTAAAGTGGGTTCATGTTTGTAATCGTTCGATCAAATTTCAACAACACAAATCTCTTGATTTAATGGATTAGAGGAATGGATGCGAAGATGATCTCTTTCCACATTCTGGATTGTTGAGGTTGGCAAGCGTGATGACTAAGCGTCCCAGCTGGGTTGCCGGCTGGCATTTTTGTCCTAATCAACTCCATTGACTACATTATCCTACGTGGAATATTGGTCCCACACGTTTTCAAGTTTGATCAAATCAAGATGCATGCACTTGGGAATTATACTATATATTTGTCCTAACAGCATATACCATATATCTGCATGATTGTCCGTCAATAAGTTGACAAATTGTAGGAATATAGTAGAGCCCTATGATCATATGATCAGCGGTGGATATACATTGGAACTAAGGTGGTCTTAGGAACATTTAGAGTTTGAAAAATATACATGTGCAGTCTTCTAATGACTCTTTAAATGTTTCGTACAATTTCTTTTTGTGCCCACCAATTATTTGATAATATCATATTGCAGGTTGCGTCGATAATATTTGACAAATTTTCTTAATAGCACGCA